CTCCCGAGTAGCTGGTACAGTGCTGTGTTCTGGGTTTAGGATGAGAACAATGTTGATAACGCACCGATGTTTTAGTTGTTGCTAAGTGGTGCTCACACTAGTCAAGGACTTGTCAGCTTCCCGCACTCTACCGACTGAGAAGGCTGGAGGTGCACAAGGAGCTGGGAGGGGGCACAGCCAGGACAGCTGACCCAAACTGGCCACAGGGACATTCCATACCATGTGACGTCATGCTCAGTAGATAAACTGGGGGGAGTTGGCCGGGGGGCGGCGACCGCTGCCCAGGAACTGGGTGGGCATCTGTCGGTGGGTGGTGAGCAACTGCATTGTGCATCACTTGTTTTGTATATTCTTTTATCAATATTATTATTTTCCCTTCCTTTTCTGTCCTATTAAACTGTCTTTATCTCAACCCACAAATTTTACTTTTTTTTCTCCCCAGATTCTCTCCCCCATCCCACTGTGGGGGGGGAGGGAATGAGCGAACGGCTGTGTGGTGTTTAGCTGCCTGCCGGGTTAAACCACAACAAGATGGAAGTTGTACATCTGATCACATAGATCTCCTATATGAAGTAAAAAGTTCAAAATGTGATTTAAAATTTTATCTTCATCATTTTCCTCTGCTAGTACCGCCCCCATCATATTTTGAAGGCAGAATGGCACCACAAAGAACAAGAAACCATCTCTCCAGAAGTCTTTCATCAAGCAGGTAAACCAGAAAGACTTGTTTATACAGTTTTTGCACCATTTTATCAGTTTACAAAAACTTACCAGAAAGAAACTAGATTGGTAGAAAGATTATTTCACCGATAAAATTTTACACAGCTTACTATATCTAAGGAAGTGGTACCTGTCTAAGAAAGTGGTAAAACTCTGGCTGTTCATAACCCAGAATTTTCAACAAGTTATGTAATTGGGCAGTATCTGCCTTATATTGCTAACAACAGAAAAAGTCGCATCCCTGACAAAATCTAGACCTATTCGAAGAAAAGATCAAAATATTTCACTATGAACGAAAGAAAAAAAAAAAATCTAATTTTTGTAAAATCTTTTTTTCAGGGAGTCTAAACAGTATTTTTCATTTGCTTGTGGGGTTTGATTTCAGACTGAAGCAGATAGCTGGCATAGATGATTTCAGTCAAAATTATTAGAGTTTTGGAAAACTTGCAACACACCTGAAACACAGTTTTACTTGAAAAGTAATGATCAAAGTTGGTAATAGACTCTGCTGTCAGCCTTGCCCATAATTTCTAAGCTGAGACTCTGGCAAGTATTAAAACTTCGACAAGCAAAGGCACAAGGATATATGAACTTTAAAGGTTATTTCCCATGTAATATATGCAGCATACAAAAATCTCTCCCTGATGCAGAAAATTTACTTTTAAAGGAAATACTAGTATTGCTTCTTGTCAGTGCTGGCAAGTCAAGAAAATGGCAACAAAACTCAGTAAGGCTCATATGAGATTGATTTCTAGTGTCCAGCTTATAAATGTAGAGAAGAATTCTTCACAAAGGTTATAAAAGCAAAGCTGACACCTTTGGACATGCAAGTCCTGATGTTTTCTGAGGAGCTGTTAAAAGTTAAATTACTATTTCAGCTTTAGACTCAGGCTCCCAAGAGAAGAAGGATGTTAACAGATTTTTTTTTTTTTTAATCCACCTCCCCGCCCTCAAAGAGACAAAATAGCGATAAAATCCAGTTACATCTACCACAGTAACCTTGCATAAATATTCTCTAGCGTGCTGAGCTGCTATATGTTAAATTCTCTGTACTGCTATGTCACAGAAGCGTTTCTACATCTTTAGGCTCCTAGCAAGCAAGCGGTAGGAAGGCTCTGGGACTATAGACCAGGGTGAAATACTGTAGAGACCAGGTCTCTACAGGTGCAACTGCCGCACCAGTGAAGCGGGTGCTCCTATATGAATCACGCAGTGCACTGGCCTGAATGTATGCAAAGGTTCAGTACAGAGGAAGCAATAGACATGCACATAGAATATACAGGGGAAGGCATGTGAAAAGATATCACAATGATGCAGTGTTAAAATCTTAAGCTTTTCATTGCATTTTAGATATTATTAGATGCGAAACTGGATGCACTCACATAATTTACACTGGAACTGTGCTGCTGAATAATGAGATGTTGTTAACTACAAGGTGACTGACTCATATTGGATGTTTTGTTTGAGCGAGAAGACAACTGCTGTGCTTGATAGGCCAAAGTACCATATGTTTCTAGAATAGCAGAAACCTACTTTATTCTGTGGTTTGCTGTCAAGGTCTAGTAATACTGGCCGAAGTGGTTTGCTGATTCAATAACCACAGTTCCGTTACGTCGGATGAGCTTTTAAAGAGACCATATGTGACTAATCAGCAGCCCAGCCTGCCTTTTCACGGTCCTTTCCCTGCAGGTAAACCAGGCTGTAACGGGAAACGTGCAGACACATCTGCAGCGAGTTCCCTGCCTCCCGCTGCAAAACTGCAGAAGGCCTACCCCGCTACTGCAGGCAGAGCAAGTGCAAGGGCATGGGTTTGGACAGGCCTGGCACTATCTGCTCTGCTATTTCCTCAGTTCCTTACTCATTTAGGTTGCTTTGAGAGCAGAGGAGAGTAACCTGATCCCTCATTTACAGCTACACTGGGACTCTAATAATGAGAACCCGTGGGAGATGTGTTTCCCCAGTGAGGGCTCGGCTCACCATTGGTTTAGGTCCCATGCGTGTGCAAAGCATTTTCCTTGAGGAAAGCACTCAGAATAAAATGACAGCGTTCTGTGCTTATTTTGCCTCTTATGTGGAAAGAAAAGTTCAAGACATTATTATTTTAGAACTGCATACCAGATCTCTTTGATAGTTGCCCTGATTTATGAACCTGTAACTCTGGGGTAATGGAACTGGATACTCATATCTGATTTCAACAGGAGCCAAGCATCTAATTTCCTTAGGCTCTTCTGAAACCCCAGCGTACATTTCTCAACTAATTGAAAGCAGATTCTCTTTAGCTGAGTTCAAGACATTATTATTTTAGAACTGCATACCAGATCTCTTTGATAGTTGCCCTGATTTATGAACCTGTAACTCTGGGGTAATGGAACTGGATACTCATATCTGATTTCAACAGGAGCCAAGCATCTAATTTCCTTAGGCTCTTCTGAAACCCCAGCGTACATTTCTCAACTAATTGAAAGCAGATTCTCTTTAACTCCAATTCAGAGAGATTTCTTTTTGCTCTGTGCAAATATTCTTCTGAGCTTCATCTGATCACTACATATAAAAATATACTGTTATACGACCATAAGATGAAAAAAAATGTCCAAATACATGCAGAAAAGAGAGTGATAAAATTAACAGTGAGGAATCCTATTTGAAACACTGGCCCACAAAGAACTGGCACCAAAGTTTAACGTAGGTATGTTACAAGAGTTAAGATTTACTTCAGTATTAGAAGACCAAACCTATAAGGAGTTGTAGCATCTATTATGAAGATCATAAACACAATCATTAACTATAATAATCTGTGTAGTAGATGTGCTTCTTTTCTCCACATTTATTATTTTCACCCGGTACTCAAAACCCCAATTAGAAGAGGCTTCAAAGCTAAACTATTTATAAGCTAAATAGTTCTGTGAAGAGCTATTTTGTTATTACATACGAACAGTTTAGCTCATGAGGCACAATGTATAAACATTCAATTTCTAAACTGTCCAAAAGCCCAAACTATATGTTCTTAGATTGACTAAAAATACAACATCCTCTTGGCCAAGACTTTCTCTGGTTTGCTAACAACATCCTCTTTTCTACCAGTTTTCCAGATTCCTTTGTAAACATTCAAAAAGTTAGCTTTTAAATAAATGAATACACATAGGAACAGCAAAAATGCGTTTATTCACTCTTTCTTTCCTAAAATGGTTGATTTGGTTTTATTCAGACTTTCAGTCTCTTAGCTCAAAACAAACCTTAAAAACATCAACACAACCAACACACACCTTCTTTACAAAATCGTTAGAACCTATGTTCAAAATTATTCATGTGTTTCTGAGATTCTGCTCATATTTAGAAAGTAAGCTTTTTTTACTGCAACTAATAACTACCTAGGACTTTCTTCCCCCCCCCCCGCCCCGTTGTGCATTTCAGTTACTGAGATCTAAAAGTACAGCTTCCACTCCCTAAATACGATCAACAGCAGCCTCACACAGTCAGTGGTATGTAGCAAAAGTGAGCACGACAGCCATTAATAATCCTGAGACTGCTGCGGAAAGAAAAAAAGCTACAGATACCTACAAGAAGGCACATAAGCTGCATTACTGATGAATTACTTCTTCAAAATGGTTGTAGACTGTATAGAGTCCTCAGCGCTGGTTATTGGCAGAGGCCTTAGGGTACATCCTTCAACTCTCATGTTTAGGAGGAATCAAACTATGGAATTCTCTCTAATATGTACAACCTTCAAAAACATTATGCTATTTGACTTTCTGTACCAATAAATCTCTCCCTCCCCAAAGGTGGTGGGTATTTCAGGATAATACCCACTTTCCATTTGGAAGTCTTTCCAAATTTTGCTTTTCCTTATTTAAATGGCAGACCAGAGGGACTAGGTCATGCTCACGACATTACCACAGAGTTTCCATAGCGGTTTGTTTTCCAACAGGTTTCTCACTTTTTTTTTTTTTTTTTTTAAATAAGTAAACTGGAACTTACAATCTTCAAACAACAAAATCATCACAGAAATCAATAAAGGCAATCAAATTTTAAAAAATTAATCCAAAGCATAACTGTTGAGGATAGCTATTCCAATGAAAAGAAATAAAATTTATAGTACTATACTTTTGCCAACACAGAAGAGTCATCAAAACCGTGGCAGCACAGTTTTTGATGCTGGCACTTTTGCCAGCAAACTATCAGAAAAAGAAAGCTATCCATCTCCATTTGCTGGCCTCAATACATTACTTTTTTTCCTCATTATACCCTCAAAGGGTATAGGATTACTTTTTCAATTGAATTACCTGTCCCAACGATCTCCAGTCTAGGCTGGCACTTCCAATGTACACGTGCTGTTTGTCAACAATCCAGAAAGATGACTGAAGCCGACCTTCATTATATGCTGACATGTTCATATACAACACTTCAGCACCTAGAGATTTAAGGATAAAATAATAAATAGCATTGTTTAACATAACATAATTTACATTATTAAAAAAAGAAAACAACTTCACATTTCAGGGCGTCAGCTTCCAAAACTAGTGAGGGATGTAGTCAAACACACCATTAAGGTTTAAAATCAATGATAAAGAGTGTTACTGTCCCTCTGTTTAAGACCCTAATTAACATATATTCCAGAAAAGCAGGTATAGGGAACATTCCTATGCATTATACTGTTTACTTAATTTTCTTCCATTTTAGAACCAAATAGTTGCTATTTTTTTCCAGCACTGTATGCTCCTAAAAATAGTTTATTTTTAAAGGTCTATTCTGTAACTCAAACCTGCTACATATTATAATAACGACCTCTAAAATACGAACCCAATTACAGCCCCTTCCTGAAAAGCAGACTCTACTCCTTTGCCCTGTGCAATGGTTCGAGGAGGTAGCCTACGGTGGGCTGTCGCATGGAACAGACCCCGACAAGAGGAACACAGGTAGAGAATTAAGGAGTGAGGAAGTAAGCAAGGGCCTAAAGCATGCTGAAACTGCTCTTAATCCTCCTAATCTGAGACATTCAACCTACCACTTTGAACTCCACAGTTTTAATAAGGATTACAGGCCACTGAAATCAAAGGAGCTACTTGTCGGGTAAAAGCACGTTGGCTCCATCACGTGAGTAGGAATGTCTGAATTGGCCCCATCAGTATGTTCGCAGGACTAAATCCAGAACATACTTAATATCAGGTGAGTTTAGGGGACTTCTCACATCATTATTGTTCTTTCAGTGCTCCAGTGTTTGTAAGATTAGGTGATTAATCTGAATTAATCATTGCTGAAGGTAATTTAAAGTAACCATTCATCTTCACATTTTAGTCACGGCAATAACTGGGGAAGAGAAGTGACAGTAAACAGCAGTCTGGAAGGCAGTAATGGTACCAGCCATCTCCCATTAAATATTCATGGGATCTTCAATACCATGAATTCCAGTAATGGTTGGATATGAGTCACAACTTCAAAACAATTCCAGGATACCTAGAGAACTAAAATATATTTCTTTTCATCTAACTTCCTGTTTCTGACCTCCTAAGAAACACTTGACTTGCAATTTTAAGCAACAGTTACCAGTGCTAAATATTTCTTTTTTATGACGAAAACTGTAATTCTCACCTGAACAAATGATTCTAGAAGTTCAGACATCAAGAAAAGGAGAAAAATCAGCTAAGGTGCCACTTTTCATGAAGCACCAAACATGCAACATAGGATTTTGAGCAAGTTACAGAATTTGGTTCATTGTACAATTACATTTGCTGCAACCCAGTTACCTTTCCAATTTTTTCTAGTTATCACCCATCCACATTCATCTATGCTTAGAAACAAAGGTATTTTCCAATTTTCCTTGGAACGTGTTGCTGCTGACTTTCAATCTATGCATTAAGGAGCAGAACTGTGCTAATTAATGATACTGTGTGTGAAATGGAAATGAAATCAGAAAACACTATAGGCAGGTGTTAAATGGTTTAAATTGTTTTCTGATGAATAAACAAAACAAAAGCGACTCCTCCTACTAGCTAAGGAAAACAGTTGCGTAAGACATTAAACTTCTAGCTACTTATCTGAAAACTGTCTAAAATCAAGTTTAACATAGCAGTTTGCCTTGATCATATTTTCTTTCCACACATCCCATTTGCAACATTAAATAGCAGTATGGATTTAACACCCACAACACACCTACATCAAATAGGTTATAAATGAAATGTTAGGATTTTTGTATAGGAAAGGTAAAACAGTCGGAAGCAACAATGAGCTTCCTTCTCATAACTGAGAGCCTAAAAATAAACACAGTTTTAAAACATTTTTTAAATAGCCAATGCCAAACAAAAATGCTGATTGCCAAAGTTACAACAGGAGACTTTTTAACCAGTAATACTAACGTTAAAAATAGCAGACATTGTCAGTAACCTGACACAAAATTCAAAAGTTGTAAAACACCAGGATTTGTGGGCGTAGGCAGTTTAGACATGGGCATAAGCAGTGGGATGGACTATCACTCTAAAATATAATCTAGGCTTCAATTACCAAAATAGCGAATATAGCAGTGCAGGAGATACTGCTATCACACGTACCATTAAAATCAAAACCTGGAACCCAATTTCTTTTCCTTCTGGAAACAGCCAACTCATAAGGCTGAGGAAACAGTATCTCCAAGTTAATTAAAAAAAAGTCATGTGTTGCAAACACCAGCTGCTGTGCAGCCTATTAATGAGCCCTAACTTTTGATGAAAGGAAACATGCATCAGTATTGATAATTGCCTCTGTTCCAGAAGCCCTTGAGATGTTTTGTTAAAACAGGCTTATCAGGCCTTCCACACAATCCATCATCCCTAGTGTGGTCCAGGTCCCATAAGGAAATTAAATTGGACTGATCAATATGTGAAGCCATAACAGAACCCTTTATCATGCTGCAGTCTCAATTACACAAAGCTGTGGGTCTACTGAGTTAAACCAGAAGGCAGAATTTGTAGGCTTGATTGCTGATATAGATGCCAGATTCTTAAAAAATAGATCTAATGATTTTGTTTCACTGAAGATTAAACTGCAGGGCGAGATCTTAGAGAAAACCAGCGCTGTCACTTAAAACTCAAGTGGATTTGCCTGTCCCATAAAATTGTGCATTGTAAAGGCTGGGCCAGATTGCCCTCTTTCTGTAGGAACAAAGACCACTGTAGGCATCAAAGCATGCTTTAAGTAACAGACATTTCTCTAGGTATTTTGTTTTTTAGGTAGGGAGGTTTTGCACTCTGTAGAAGGGAGATGACTGATGCAGTCTGGGATGCACAGAGGGGACCCTGCCCTTGAGAGCCTAGACCTTCTCCATGTGATGGGAACACAGCCCCTGGGAGGTGCCACGCTGCCACTCAGCCTCTTGCTTTGTCTCATAATGGAGGAAGAAAACAGAAGAGACAATAGTAGTATTGCAGAAAGACTGAATTTTTATCCATTTCCAAACGAAATCCAATTCCCAAAGTAATCCCAAAGAAGAAGGATGGCACAAGCAAGTGCCATTTACCATTTCTAGCATTGCAACCTCCTGTTTGGTCTAGCTGCCTGCTCGCAGGTACTCCACTAATGATGTCATGAAGGCCACAGGGCAAGCTTGACTTCAAGAACAGGAGCTTAAGGCTAGGACCTTTTCTACAGATTTGAGCCAAAACACTCTAAGCAGTTATCAGGAGACTTTAATCAAGAGCTCATCACATATTTGCTCTATCATGAAAAACTGTGTGCCATCGAGAAGCGCATCTTGGGGCAGCTGTGTTGCAGCATATGCTAGCTGTGGATTTTACTGCTGCTCAAGCAAGGTCACTAGATGGCTACAGACTGGGAGACTCTTCTTCGTGGGAGACTGCAGGAGGCCGGGGCCAGCCTCCAGATCCAAGTTTATGCAGCAGTCTGGAGAAGGTGCACCAGGAGGCTTTGGATCCAACGCCTGTGAGCAGTCTAGGATATTACCAGGTTGTCCTGGTACAGAGGCAACATCACTGAGCCAAATCACCTCTCTGGTGGATATGGTAAATCATTTTTGTAAAGAAGACCCAGAAAGAGCAACTGTTTAGGCTGCTATTATCACAGCTGCCTTGAAAGCAAACATGCAAATTCTGCCTGCAACAGTTTTCAACAGCACCAGTTACAGGCTAAACTCACTCTGGAGTTAGCAAACATAACGCCCAAGAAACAGAAGCTGCATTTGCTTGTACCACGGCTAAAATTGGCCTTCTGTCTTCACAACTTTACTTTCACTATAGTGTTTTTAAAACCAGAAAGAAAGAAAAATAGGAAAGGGGAAGGATTTAAGGATTGAGAGGACAGCCAGACAGAGGTATCTGGGAAGTTGCAGCAACAGTGACGGGTGATTCACAACAGGCAGAGAATGATGAGAAAAGCACCAAGAGCCCTGACCTCATTAGCCCTGACAGTAGGAAAGTATGCTGCAGCAGAAAAAGGGTGAAGAGAAATGGAGATACACGATCTGATGGCACGTGTTGGGACTGTGCATCGTGCAGAGCCCCTGGAGAAAGGGTGGTGGAGCCAGGCTGGGCTCCGCTACCCCCTGCTAGGAATGGGAGAGGTGTAAAGGTGGAGGAGATGAACAGGGGCTTTTGAACGCCTCTCCTTCCCCATTTGGGGAAAACAGAGCTTGTCAAGCGCACACTGCAGAGGCACAGCAGGCAATGGAAGGGGGAACACATTGGCGTGGGGGGAGCTACACAGAGCTGTTGGTAGGATGGGGGAGTGGGGAGGTTGTAGAGGGATCACAACGGAGAAGGGGGAGCAGGATGCAAGGAAGCACTAGTATATGAAATGAGTTTGGCCAGTGAAAGCAACGCTGCTTACGGCGCTCTCATATATTTGCAGTCTGAAACTGACAAATGCTCCTGCACCACATCCAATCCACTGCCCATCTCCCCACCACCGTTCCCCACGTCACCACCAAGCTGGCGACAGCAGAACAGCTGCCCTCCTCCACTTACCCCATTCTTGCCGTCTCTTCACTCTCGTCATCACCATGTCCATACCCTTTGCTCACAGCACTGTTTTTTTTCTCTCTCCTAATTCTGTGTATTCCCAAGCAAATACTCCAAGTAATGAGACCTATAAAAAGGAGTCTTGAGAACGCGAGCCATGGCCTCTGTTTCACCCCACTGCTGACAGTCACTTGGCACACAGAGATACACGTTTTGACCTATACCTTTTGGAGGGTGGCCTCAAGCCAGAGTTAAGAGCAGACTTAACTAGTCCATACCATGAACCTGAGAGCTCACAAGCATATGTACACTTGAGCACAGCTGGTGCTTGACCAGCCTGTACAGCCTCTCTGGGAGGCTACCACACGGGTGGGAGGTGGCATGTGTGGCGCTTGCCATTGTGCCATAGACCTGCTGTATTCTTTCAGCTAAGCTGAATCTTCAGGGCAGTATAGAGGCAGTTAAG